ATGTACTCTATTAAGAGGATATACTAATGACAAACAAACACACAAAAAGATATCCAAAATCACTGGTTATTAGGGAAATAAACAATAAAAGTACAGATATCACTATTCCCAGTACAGTGACTAAAATTAAAATGCTGAAAACAATAAGTGTTGACAAAGATGTCTAAAAATTTCAGCTCCAACAATTCTGTCAGAATATAAAATGCTACATCACTTTAGACAGTAGCTCAACAGTCATTTTCTTTTTTATTTTTTGATCTATACATTCTACCACACAATCTAGCCATTTCTTTCCTGGTTGTTTTCTGAAGAGAAATAATAACATGTGCTCACACAGACTCACATAAATGTTTGTAGAAACTTTATATATAATAGCCAAAACGTGAAAACAATCCAAATATCCAACAAGAGAGTAAATGTTTTAAACATGCAAAATAGCATGGATAACGTGTATCATACAACACAACTTGGTAATAGAAGGAAGTAAAATATTGATACATACAATGTAAATGAATCTCAAAGTAATTATATTAAGTTAAACAAGCAAGCCCCTACTCCAAATGAAAGGTGTATAAACTATGTAATTCTGCTTATGTAAGACTCTAGAAAAATACAAACATTAAAAACACTAATGATTTCTAGGGGGTCGTAGAGGAAAGCAGATAATATGCTGGGAGCTTCTGAAAGAAGGCCATATTCATTATCTTGATTATGTTTATTTCTTGGGCATCGGTGTGAAGATGTCAAAGCTGATTGTACAGTTTGAGCAAATGCCATTTTTATATATGGGTTATGCCTTAGTAAAGTTGTTTTTAAAATATCTCATGTTTTTAAAAAAATATTTTAATTGTTTGCATCCTGATATAATTCTTAAATTTGGTAGAAATTATCACCTGTACATGCTTCTACTACTCATTGTGGATTTTTGCCTAGATCTGATTTTATAAAATAAAATCTACAATATCTTCCTATGTTCTAATTTTTCAGAAGATTTTATTATTATTTCTGCCTGCTAAAAACTTTAATCAATGTTTTCTGCCTTAAATTTTCAATTAACCCTGCCATAACTTATAGTTTGATCACTTAATTTGGCCAGAATCCCCCACATCTGTATTTTTTTTTTTTTGCTAATTATCCTATTTATATCCAATGAGACTGTGTCATAAACTCTGCCTCAGCTCAAACATCAAATTTCTCAATGTCAAAAATTCTCTAACAATTTAAAATGCCTATCTTTTTAAAAAATATTCCCAAATTCATATGGCTTTTGAATTTCAAAAAGTAATAAACTACAATAGAAAAGCTAAATAGAAAAGAAAGCAAAATTTCTAGCTTGTAATACTAACTGGATTTCAGAATCTCAGAAAACAGTGGAAACTGTCAAAAAAGCAGCACTATATAGCCTAGAATATTGTTTCTCAACCTCAAATAGGGCACATGGAAGAGTATGCATACAATAATTTCTACCAAATTCTCTAGAATTCACTCTAAAATGTCACAGGAACTCTGAGTACTTATTGAATAATATGATGAAAATACAACAATTATATGACATCAGAGTTTCATAATATCAAGAATTCTCAATCTAGAGTTTCATTAAACAGAGAAATGCAGTGACTGTTTAAAAAATATCGAAACATCTCAACATTTCAGCAACTTGCAAATGATTTGTAGTCACACAAACTATGTTCCCAAAAGTTTTAATAACTGTAGAAACCTAGAAATCCTTTGAGAACCCACATCTTAGAATATTTACAGGATTGTTAAACTTACTCTTTAAAATTTTGAATAGCTTACACTAGAAGTCAATATTTTACTTTGAAACCCCAGGCTCTCCCCGTGAGTCAGGGTCATTTGCAGACTGGAGGTAGAAAGAAAATGGCCACACCATGAAGCAAGCCCAGTCGGGGAACCAGCACTATGCATGGGCTGCTGCCAGACTAAAACAGCCAGACCCCAGCCACTTCCGGCACACAGGCTGGCAAATAAGAAGTACTAACCACCCCACCACCCCAACCATCCCGCTTTAAGTGACTGGCTTAACTGTAAAAACACTGGCTGTGATGATAGCTATGGAGGGGAAATACAATTGGATGCCAGTGGTGCCTTGTTGTTTCACTAACATTGCAGGCCAGTGGTCTGAGCATAGTTTCAGAAGATAGTGGTGTGCAGTGTGACATCTAGGGGATCTCCTCCTGAGGGCTGCAGCCATTTCAATTCCCTATGGTCTTTTTTTGGAAGTCCTGTATCATTTCCATTGTTTTGTTGGGCTGGGTTTTATTTTTTGTTTTGTTTTGTTTTGTTTTATGTCAAATCTGATGGCAGGAGCATCTATTTCAAGACAGCAAGAAATATTATAGTAGAAGTTTTGTATTTACTATAGGCTTGTTTTGAAGTTCTTTATTGCATTCATTATTTGTTCTTTTTGTTTCTAATCTGTTCTGTTTGATTTTCACTATGTCTGAAATTATCTGTAGCTATTTTGAAGACATCAAGAGCATTATGGTAACTACTGTTGATTTTGTAATGTTTTGAAGTCCTGTACCTCTTACACTGGTTTGTTTTGATTGGTTTTATTGTTTTATCCTCTTTAAAATTAAAAAAAGGGGGGGGGGTACTGGAGCACCAGAAAAGATCTTTACAGGGTCTGTTTCACATGAACCCAAGGGGACTCACTTACCTCAGCAATCTGCAGTACACTGTCCTCTTGGGAGTGGAACTCTTTCATTTTGTCTTCAATTTCCTGCTGAGTCCTTAAGGTCTTCTCCAAAACAAATGACATCTTCTGAGACTGGGTGAGCTGAAGCAAAAGCGTCAAAGCCCAAAAGGCCCCTGTGCACTCGGAGGCAGGACGGCAGTACGGACTCAGCCACTGGGCAGGGGCTGGAGGCTGAGGCCACCAGTGACAGAAGCTCTGCACCCACAACCCTCACTTGATCCTGGGGACTCTGCTCCCAAGAAAACCCTATCCACACAATGTGCAGTAAGCAGGCCCAAATTTCTCAAAAGATCACTCAGGATGACACAACAACTGTACTTCCTGTGGAAGCCAAGGTCCCAAAACCATGGGATCTGCAGTAAAAAGCTTTCTCTCAGGTTCCTACACAAGCACCCAGATTTGCTTCTTCCACACCTAGGCTCTATGACCCTGGCGTTCTGACCTCACCGCAACTAGAGCTCTGTAGAAGACTACATGGGTGCCCCTCCTTGAAAGCAGGATAATTGCTGCAACATTAGTTAAACCAAGTCTTATTTTCTGATACTGATATATACAGAGCTAGCTATGGTATTTTTTTCTCTTCAACTGGCTCTAAGGTATGAAAATAATGCCAGCTGAAGTACTGATATGTAATCTTTACAGTCAGTCTGACAGTCTCTCCCGTTTCCTCCTATAGTGCTCTCTGTGAAAGATCTGAGCACAGGGGGATGGCAGAGCCACTTAGCTCCAGGAATGTCAACTGAGTATGAGCCTCAAAGTAAGAGGCTATGAGTCCTCAGGGTACAAAAGTTTACATATCAGAAGCTGAAGCAAGGCCACTGAGTGGGGAACCAGATGCCAGTCCCTTCCAGCACATGGGCTAGGAAACAAGAAGAGGCACACGCTCCTCCCATCCACCCACCCCCACCATAAGTGACTGGCTGATCCAGAAGAACCAGGCTGTGATGATAGCTATTGAGGTAAAATACAATTTAATGCTTGTAGTGCTTTGTGTTTCACTGGCTTTGCATGCCTAAAGCTGGTAGGTAGTCTGGTCCTCTATTCAGAGGATAACAGTACTCAATGTAGCATCTATGGGGAATCTCCTTCTGAAGGTGGTGGCCATTGTTAATTCTCTATTATCTTCTTTGGAAGTCCTGTATCATTTTCATTGTTTTGTTGAGCTGGTTTTTATTTGTTTTGTTTTGTTTGATTTTATTATATCTGATGGCATGGGCAGCTATTTCAAAGATAATAAGATATGACAGCCATCTTGGATTTACTACTATCTTGTTGTGAAGTCCTTTTTTGTTTTTATTGGTTCTATTCTGCTGTTTTGTTTGATTTTTACTATGTCTGAAAGTATCTGCAGCTGTTTTGAACACAAAAAGAGGCATTATAGTAACCATTGCTGATTCCCTAATGTTTTGAAGTCCCGTGCTATTTACATTGGTTTGTTTTGATTGACTTTATTCAGTTTTATTTTGCTTGGTTTTATTCTCTTTAAAATAAAAATTTTTAAAAAGAAAGAAAAGAAGTATTTTTCTTTGAGTTTATTTTCATCATAAGTTCAGACTGCCAAAAAAACATAAGACAAGCTTCCAAAAGACTCATCACATTTCTAGTTGAAATTAAAATTAATCAAGGGTGTGCTCTCAAGGCCACATATTTTTCTTTATATTCATGTCCCTTTACAATAATTTCTATGACATCTTTATTTGCTTGAAGTGAATATTTTTTTACAAAGAAAGTTTCCTTGTCAACACATGGAAATGTAAAATACATAAGAAGACAAGGAAGAATACTTAGATTGAAACCAGGAAAGTAATGCTTATCTCAATTGAATGGTAAAAGAATAAGAAATATGGGTAATTATAACAAGGATGAAAAGAACACCATGTAGGTTTAGATTTGTGAATAATGCCCAAGGGATTTAAAGTATTTGGCATTTGCAAAAAAATAAAATGGCATTTGCACTAGAAGCTACATATACTTACAAAGAGAAAGCAAAGGAAAAATACATGGCTTTAAAGTAGATCACCCTTGTCAACAAGGTTTACTGTACAAAAGTTATTTTGAGTGATGATTTCAATCATAAACTTCCTTCATTTCAAAATATTTATGCAACATGCTGTAGAAGTGAAAGACAGTAACACAAGTAACTTTAAACTGCTATAATTTTTATTGCTTACTTTCCAATTTCATGGCACTCTTGAGATTCCCTTTCATTTACTGTACCTCAAATATTTTTTGGATGTCCACACTTTCTAAAGAAAGTACTTCTAGAGCATCTCAGCTTCTTACCATTAGTTTAATTAGGAACAACGTCAGCTCAGCAGTTTTTTTTTTATTTTATTTGAATGGCATCATCTATTCTGATAGTAGAAACCTGCTTGCTTTTAGAATTAGATACAGCTTCAGGAATGAGAAGCATTTATTCAAGTTTTGTAACATCTTTTAAAATAATTGATCCAATGCTTTGTCTGAGGCAACTGCTACCTGAGGAGGCTGAGATTCACTAGAGATACTCTCTACCATAGCTTCATATGCAGGGTCTTGTTCAGATAATAGCAGTAAAATTTCAACCTGCATCTCTTGCATAGGAAATTCTTCAGTAGAAAGTACATCAGATAATAAAGCATGTTTATCAGCAAGGGCCTCTTCTTAATAGACTATCTCAACTGGTAGAGCTCAAACTTCAGCAAACACCTCTTTTGCAGGAGCCTCCTAAGCTGGTGGTTGCTGAACCTCAGAAGGGATCTCTTCTGTCGGAGCCTCATTGCAAAAGCGAAAGGGCCTCTTTTTCAGAGGCCAATGCTGGTGGATGCTCAACTTCAGATTTGATGTCTTCTATAGAAGCCTCTTCAATTGATGTAGAATAGGCTTCTGTAGAGACTTCAGCTATTGGAGACCAAAAGTTATGAGTTACCTTTTGAGGAGGAGCCTCATCAGCTGGTGCAAAGTTCAATTCAGCATGGGCCACTTCTGCAGGCACCTTGTCAGCTGGTGGAGACTGGACTCCAGCAGGGTCCTCTTCTGCAGGAAGTTCCTCAGATGGTGAATGCTGAACTTGAACAGAGGTCATCTCAGTTTGGTGACTTTGAACTTGAGAAGGAGCTACTTCTGCAAAATTCTCAGCAAGATTCTCTTCTGCATGAGCTTTGTGAGCAGGTGTAGGGATCTCAATAGTGGTTGCTTCTGAAGGAGCCTCCCTAGCTGGTTGATAGTGAATTCTAGCAGAGACCTCTTCTGTAGGAGCCTCATGAGCTGTTGGAGAATGAACTTCAGCATGGGCCTCTTCTGAAAGAACCTCTTCAGTAGGTAGACACTGAACTTCAGCAGGTTTCTTTTCTAGAGGAGAATCCTTACCTGGTAGAGGCTGATCCTGAGCAGGAACCTCTTCTGCAGGTGCCTCCTTAACAGGTGGAGACTGAAATTCACCTGGGGCCTCTTTCATAGGACCCTCCTCAGCTGATGGAACTTTAGCAGGGGTCTCTTCAACCATGGTAGGCTCTACTACAGTTAAAATTTCTTCATGGGCATCTTCAACTATTGGGGGCAATACTTCAACTTGAGGCTTTTCTGCCAGTGGAAGCTGAATTTCATCAGGAAAAGCTTCTAAAAGAACTAATTCAGCTGATGGATGCCCCACTTGATCATAATGTTTTCTTAAAAGAGACTCTTCCATTGGTGAAGACTCTATTAAAGGCAGCTCTTTAGCTGAGGGAGCGCGCGTGTCACCAGAGGCCTCTGCCGTTGTAATGGCTGCCTTAGCCAAGGTCCCCTCTGCAAAGCTGGGTTCTGCTATAGCTGTGGCCTCTTCAGCTGGTAGGGGCTGTACTTCAGCAGGGACCTCTCCTGCAGCTGGAGGATGTACTTCAGAGGGGACTTCTCCTGCAGCTGGAGGCTGCACTTGAGAGGGGACTTCTCCTGCAGCTGGAAGCTGTACTTCAGAGGGGACCTCTCCTGCAGCTGGAGGCTGTACTTCAGAGGGGACCTCTCCTGCAGCTGGAGGCTGTACTTCAGAGGGGACCTCTCCTGCAGCTGGAGGCTGTACTTCAGAGGGGACCTCTCCTGCAGCTGGAGGCTGTACTTCAGAGGAGACCTCTCCTGCAGCTGGAGGCTGTACTTCAGAGGGGACCTCTCCTGCAGCTGGAGGCTGTACTTCAGAGGGGACCTTTCCTGCAGCTGGAGGCTGTACTTCAGAGGGGACCTCTCCTGCAGCTGGAGGCTGCACTTCAAAGGGGACCTCTCCTGCAGCTGGAGGCTGTACTTCTGAGGGGACCTCTCCTGCAGCTGGAGGCTGTACTTCAGAGGGGACCTCTCCTGCAGCTGGAGGCTGTACTTCTGAGGGGACCTCTCCTGCAGCTGGAGGCTCTACTTCAGAGGGGACCTCTCCTGCAGCTGGAGGATGTACTTCAGAGGGGACCTCTCCTGCAACTGGAGGCTCTTCTTCAGAGGGGACCTTTTCTGCAGCTGGAAGATGTACTTCAGAGGGGACCTCTGCTGCAGCTGGAGGCTCTACTTCAGAGGGGACCTCTCCTGCAGCTGGAGGCTGTACTTCTGAGGGGACCTCTCCTGCAGCTGGAGGCTGTACTTCAAAGGGGACCTTTTCTGCAGCTGGAGGATGTACTTCAGAGGGGACCTCTCCTGCAGCTGGAGGATGTACTTCAGAGGGGACCTCTCCTGCAGCTGGAGGCTGCACTTCAGAGGGGACCTCTCTTGCAGCTGGAGGCTGTACTTCAGAGGGGACCTCTCCTGCAGCTGGAGGCTCTACTTCAGAGGGGACCTCTCCTGCAGCTGGAGGCTGTACTTCAGAGGGGACCTCTCCTGCAGCTGGAGGCTCTACTTCAGAGGGGACCTCTCCTGCAGCTGGAGGCTGTTCTTCAGAGGGGACCTCTCTTGCAGCTGGAGGCTGTACTTCAGAGGGGACCTCTCCTGCAGCTGGAGGCTCTACTTCAGAGGGGACCTCTCCTGAAGCTGGAGGCTCTTCTTCAGAGGGGACCTCTCCTGCAGCTGGAGGCTGTTCTTCAGAGGGGACCTCTCCTGCAGCTGGAGGCTCTACTTCAGAGGGGACCTCTCCTGAAGCTGGAGGCTCTACTTCAGAGGGGACCTCTCCTGAAGCTGGAGGCTCTTCTTCAGAGGGGACCTCTCCTGCAGCTGGAGGCTGTTCTTCAGAGGGGACCTCTCCTGCAGCTGGAGGCTCTATTTCAGAGGGGACCTCTCCTGCAGCTGGAGGCTCTACTTCAGAGGGGACCTCTCTTGCAGCTGGGGGCTGTACTTCAGTGGGGACCTCTCCTGCAGCTGGAGGCTGTACTTCATCAGGGATCTCTCCAGCAGCGGGAGGCTGTACTTCTGTTGGTAGGGCCTCTATTTCAGCAGAAGCCCTCTTTAGAACAGAGCAAACTTTTTCAACAGATATGGTTACCTCTGGCCTAGATCCATCTTTTGAAAGTACTGGAGTATCTTTTTTGGTGTCCTGAGTTAATGAGCTAGATTTAACAATTACTTGAATTTCACCAAAGGATGTCTGTTGTTCTCTGTCAACTTTTTCTACTAGGAGAATGTTCGGCATGTCTCCAGTACAAATGGTCTGCTGAGATCTGTCTATTTTTGACTGAAGTGAGGCTGCTTCCCCAGGGCCAACTGGCTTTTCTTCAGGTACCACTTTTTTATCAACTAAATTGATTTCTTTTTCCTCTTTTATGATGGTGTCTGTCTGCAGAGATTTATCAGCCATTTCCTGTCCATGTTTTCTCTTTTTCCAGCTTTGCTCAAGTTGACAAGATATTGTATGACACTCAGGGTAGTTGCCTTTGCTTACAGTACTACTAACAATATTCAAGGTTGCTTTGGGGACAGATGACTGTGCTGTGGCCATGGATTTCTTTTTCTCTATCACTTCAGTTTGCAAGGATTTGTCTACCATTGGTTGGCTAGGGCGTCTTCTTTTTCGAATTTCTTGCCTCCTTCCTGAGATAGACTGATCAGGTTCATCAAGTTCTTCCATTTTTTTAACTGATGAATTTCAAATTTATCAATCTTCAAGGAGCAGTAATAATCAAGAGCCACAAATGTACAAGATGTTTAAGCCATTGCCTTTCTTAAGAACTCTTCTATTCACGTCCTTAGAAAAAAAATCATTCACAAATTATTACATTCTGTACCGCTATGCTCTTGTTGGATCCCATCTTATTCAACTATCACATTTTTCTTTCGTCTCTGTTCTAACTAAATCTTACCTTTAGAAGTTTCTCTCAAGGGTCTGTGACATCACAACCACTTCTCCTTACAAAGTTCCAGCAGTTATGTTTCCAGTACTTTTAACTGAGTGTTCATAGGCACCCTCTGCAAGGAAAACTTCTTCTTTTTGAAACAAATCAATTTGAAAGAAACATCGGTCTACCAAAGAAACATGCAGTAAACTCCAGGAACGCCACTTTCTGATTGTCAGAGTTAATGCTTTTGAACTCTCATTTCTGTTCTTTTCATTTTACTTTTGAAAACAGTTGTTATGCAGACTCTGTGTTCTGTTTTCAACTGATAACATGTGTGTGAGAATGTTCTATCAATGTAGCTTTATATGACTGGAAAAGAACGTAATTCTGTTTGAAAAACTAAGATTGTGAAGTCTATCTCCATGTAAGCTCTTTCCTAATATCTTTCACCTTCAGTGATCACAACAAAATATAAAAGTCATGCTTTCTTTTCAAGCAACTGAAGATACTTTGATTTCATTTTTAACTATTTCTGAAAGTAATTCTACTAAAAGTTTTCAAATAGAGCTGAGCGTGGTGGAGCACACCTAATCCCATCACCTGAGAGGCTGAGGCAGGAGGACTGCTGAGAGTTTGAGGCCAGCATAGGATACATAGTGAGATGCTGTCTGAAAAAAAAAACTAAAATAAAATAAAAACACAAATAATCTTTATAATACTTACAATATTTTTCAAATAAAAGACTGGTAAGGACCTGGGATATAGCTCAGTAGCACAGTGCCTGCTTAACAAGCATGAGATCCTGACTCTCGATTCTGTGTAACAAAAAAAAATAAAAATAAAAATAAAAATAAATTTAGAAAAAGACAGCTGAGTCTAAATCTGTGCCCAGTTAAGTAAATTATATCTTTTGTGGCAGTCAGCATAAACTATGTTGAGTAACTACATGGGAAGGAATACCAAAATAAAAAGTTTAAATTGAAGCTTTGAAAAAGAAACACCTGGAGCTGGGGATTTAGCTCAGCAACATAAGCATCTGCCTTGCAAGCACATAGTCATGAGTTCGATCCCCACTACCAAAAAAAAAAAAAAAAAAAAAAAAAAAGAAGCACCCATGTTAAGCAAACTATAGGTGTATAATTATATTGAATTTGAAATATTTGTAAAACTTTAACTTGTTATCACACAAAAAATTTACTAGAAAGACATATTAGTCTAGAGACGTATAAAAACATTGTTAGTCTGTGGAAAGTAAAAAAGAGGAAAAAAGAAACATTTAAAATATAATTACAGTATCTAATAAGGACTATGATTTTATTAATCTGGGGATATTTTAAAGTTCTTTACGCTCTATTGCCCCTAGAAAACATAAATGTGAATTAAATAATTATCTGTTTTATGTGCATTTTTGACATGGATTGAACAGGATGCTTAATTCCTAAGGTTATGGCATTTGGAGTTAGAACCTTCTAGAAGACAACCATCTGCAAATCAGGAAATGGGCCCTCACTAAACACAGATCTATTAGCATTTTGATCTAACACTCCCTGGTCACCAGAACATTGAGAAATAAATGTTGTTTTAGTTACCCAGACCATGGTATGCTTGTTATAACAACCTAAATTCACCTTGACCCAACCAATGAGTGTTTTCTACATTCTTTGTCCTAGCCTCTAAAATAGATTGTCTTGTGGCAGTCATCAGTGAATATTTGCTGAATGTAATTGAAAGACATATAATTGAAATAAACTGTACAATTAATATGGGTTAATTAAAAATAAAACAATTATATAAATAAGAACTTGATGTTTATTAATCATGAACTAAATTGTCATAGCTGCTTTTTGCTACTAGCATTATCTTACAGAAACAGATTATCATTCATAAATAGTCAAACTATCTACCAAATACAATTATTTTTTTTAAATTTTTTTTGAAAGTGGTAAAATACAACAGAATAAGACAGAATAAAGCCAACTAAGATCATAAAGTGAAATTGGTACAGAACTTCACAGCAGGTTACTGGGATAACAGTAATAGGTATCACAGTATATTTCGTTATCTTTATCATAGTTGTTCTTTCAATGACGTATATCAAAATGAGATGAAATACAGAACATTATAGAACTTATCAAAACAGAATATTGAATAGAGCAGTACCATTAATCAGAATAGAGCAAAACAATAATAAAAATATTTGCCTTCACAGAGATAATAGAAGGAAGTCCCCCTTATTTGCTATGGTCAACCTCCCAGGAGACGCTCAGATTTCTGATTCGCGTTTGCTAAAGAGGGGGACAGGAGAAGGGGGATAGGGGAAGTGAAATGTTTGACTTTAGGCCGTTCATCAGTAGGTTGACTATTACTTAGCAGAGAGTCAGGCTGGCTGGTTGATTTCACAGCGTCTTAAGTCCCAACATGCCGCAGATCTCAGGAGCTGCTGGTGGTTCTCCCCCTGGAAGGGCCACAGGCTGTCACACCGCCACCACTTACCAGGGGAGGGGAGGGGAAGTGCTCGCTTGGCTTCCCAGTGTCCTCCAAATACAATTATTAAAAATATTTCCAAATACAATTATGAGAAATTTCATGGAAAAGTTTTCTATCTCATATTTTAAGACCACAGATTATCTCTTTGCCAGGATGATTTATCTGACCCCACTAATCATTACCCATCTCTCATCAATTTAAGATTTCTGATTTTACTTATTTCTTTAGAAATCTTGCATATTTCATTTTTTTCTTCTTCTTCTCTTGGTTCCCATCTACTAAGTGTTGAATGGTGTCTCCCAAAATGGTACCTTCAGACCCTCATTTCTAACACCTACAGATGCAGCCTTATTTGGAAATAGAATCATTACACATGTAATGCAATCAAAATGATATTCTTATAAGAAGAAAATAATTTAGACACAAAGACATAGAAGACCATGTGAAGATGTAGGCAGAGACTGAACTTATGCTGACACACTGGGGGAAATTTCTGAGGCTCCCTAAAGTAGAAGAGGTAATAAAGGAACTGCCCCTAGAGGTTTCAGAGAGAGATGGCCCTGTTACCACACTGACTCAGGATTTCTACCCTCTAGAACAGTGAGATAATAAATTTATGTAGTTTTACCCAGGTTGTAGTACTTTCTATGAAAGCACTAGCCTAGGAAAGTACTAGCCCTAGGAAAATTAAATATTCTTTCATAGCCCCATGTTTTTGACACCCGCTTGGACTCCTGTACATCTGGCTTTCAATTTCTAGGTATAGTCTCTTTATTTCTGACTCAGATGTAGCATTATTTTCATACTATCTTTGATGCATTTATATAATCATCAACAATATAAGTATTTGCTAAAAAATTCCACCTGATGGTTTGTATTTAATTTTACCACAAACAAATTCATTTAAGTAGCACTTAATTCCATTTAGAATTCAACACATTTAAACCTATAAATTAGAAATGGCTGGGATGCTTCAAATTAATGTCGACCAAATATTTAAATTATGACCTGTATTGTTTTGTTCATAACTGAATATATCAAGCAAGATAAAGTCTTAAAAATGTACACTGGATAAAACAACCATAGAGTCACTGATAGTTTTAATAAAAGAAATTTCAGTAGCTTAGTGAGGAGGGAAAGCATAAAAATTTTAAATCTCTATACATTAAACATAAAGAAATTAAAACACAATAAAAACTATTTTAAAAAGTCCAAAATATCACATAAAGAGGTATCCTGATGCCTGAAATCCTAATGTCTGAAAGACCTTAGAAAAATGGCAGACTGATAAGTAGCAAAGTAAAAAACGTCTCTGGGAGAAACAGCTCAGATGCAGGAGTTTGTCATCATGGAGAGGACCAGACAAAAGGATATAGATCCTCACAGCCCAGGGAGAAACTAAAGCAGGGAAAAAAAGAAGGAAAAAAAAAAAAGAAAGGAGAGGCATGGACAGAAGGCTATAGCCAGATGCGCTCTCACTAGAGCTGATCCCACTGCGTGTGAGGTGTCCCTGGAATCTGAAGGATGCACAGTCGCGGTGAAGCTGGAGATTGACAAGCCCCAGAGTCTCAGCTGGAGGACATGGTCACAGACGGAGGGAGCAACAGAGTGGAGAACAGAGCCAACATGGAGATCTACACTGACCCACAGTGAGTGCGCAGAACTTGGTCCTCCTGCTGGGAGTGGGTGATTTGCTGGGTGACATTTTGGAGTCGGGAAGAATAAGCCCGGGTCCAGATCTATAGCAGCTTCAGTCAGCCACACTCCTAGAACAGAGCAGATTGATGAGAATTGCTGGGACTGAGTCCCACCCCTGTGGTAGATCCAATAACCAAGGATGAAGTTTCCCCTGAAGCTATCCCAAACCGGTTCCACTAACATAGTGAAACTTCATCACTAACATGAAGATTGCTCTGAAGTGTGCTGGCGAGGGATTGCTACCCTTCCCACTATGCTGTTGATCACCCTAGTACAGGCAAGGGTGGTGCAGGCTGGTCTCTCCCTTCTGAACTGGTCAACAACTGTGGGTCTTCATCATGTTAGTAAAATGATATTCAGATATATAAGGCATACAGAACTCCAGCCAGTTATAACCAAAATAGATCTACAACCAGACATATAATAATCAAGATCCCAGAAATTCAACACAAGAGCAGAATATTAAAAGCTGCCAGAGAAAAGAAACAGATGACCTATTATGGAAAACTCATCAAAATCACAATAGACTTCTCTACACAAACCATCAAATCAAGAAGAGCTTGGAGCGAAGTATTCCAAGCACTGAAACAAAATAATCTCCAACCCAGATTGATGTACCCTGCAAAACTATCTCTCAAAATTAATGGAGAAACAAGATGCTTCCATGACAAAAAAGGAATCAGGGGAGTTTGTAACCACCAATTCAACCCTACAAAAATACTAAAGGACATTCTAGAGAGAGACAGGGGAAAAAAAAAAAAAAAAAAAAAAAAAAAAAAAAAAAACATGGTTTCAGGAACAGCGGCAGAGA